TCCCCACACCACGGGGGTCCATCAGGTAAAGCTTGAAGGATCCCCTTCCAGCCCCTCCCACCTCTGAGGGTTCCTGTGGGGATGGTCCCAGGGTCCTGTGTGATTGGCAGAGAGAGAAGCACCTGGGCTGGGGGGTGGGGGGCTCTGCTGGGTGGAGGTCTGGGGACCAAGGGACCTACACCCCAGCCCTCCCCCGTGCAGCCGGCAGCCTCCAGACAGGGGTGCTCACGGGTGCACGGGTGGGAGAACAATTGGGAATGAATGAAGGATTGGACGGCGTCCCCCCCGCCCCCAGCATGCTGGGGGGAGGGGGCCCTCGCACCCCCTCCTTCCCATGGGCTGAGCCCAGCGCACCTCCTGCCCCTGCATTCTCTGGATCCTGCCCTGTGAGGCAGCTCCTGGACATCTCCAGGAGGCCCTCCCATTCCCCACCTCCACACACCGGGTCACTGCTTCTGACGTCCCAGGGGGTTTGTTCTGAGGGTCAAGGGACCATCCGCATGACGAGGCCCTGGCCAGCCCCCAGGATACTCAGTGCCTTTCTCAGGCACAGAATTCCCAGCACTCCGAAGATCTTTTGAGACGAGAAAGCCCCTGTCCTCGCCCCTACCACTCTTTGAGACAAGCCAGGAAAGATGTCATGGTGGACGTTTGTGGGTTTCCCCGTGTACAGGTGGCCTTATCTCTGCCACAGGGGTCCAGCGGGTTGTCTGCAGGACAGACGCCCAGGGCAGGGATTGCTGAGGCTGGTCCGGCTGGGATCGGGGTCTGGGCCCACCCTGCAGGTCCTGAGAGCATCCTGTGGGCTCTCTCAAGCCTCGCCTGACCCCAGGGGGTGCTCACACCTGTGGCGGGGGCCCACCTGGCCCATCTCTCAGCACCCTTTGTCCAGCTGGCCCTCAGCAGCTGGGGTGGTGGTGACAGGAAAGCAGGATGGAAGGAGGGACAGATAGCATTTCCCCTGGGGCAGAGGGGACCCCCTGGAGGCTTCACTGGGGAGGACCGCTGACCCCAGTTCCTGCAGGGCCAGCCCAGGGTCTCCTGATAGGACAGGACGTCTCCCTGCAGACGTTTCCTGTCTGCAGACAGAGAGAAGAGGGAGGATAGACTGCGCATCCAGTGTAGACAGCACTGGGTGTAGACAGCTCTGGGTTTGTGACTGGGCTGCAGAAAGAGAGAGCTGGAGCAGGGGGATCCCCTAAGGACTGTTAAAGGAGCGGGGGATACAGCTAGGGCCAGGCCCAGTCACCAGGGCCAGTGACCCCAAAGACCCCCCTCAACCTGGGGGGGAGGGCTTCCAGAGAGCCCCCTGCTGATTTATGGTCCTCCAGGGGGAGGGGAGTTATGGCTGCAAAGTCCTTGCTCCCTCCTCCTCTTCCTCCTTGTTGGGGGTTGGCAGGCTGGGTGGGGTGGCTCTCAGCTGGTTTCCAGATGGGCCTGGTGGAGGGGGGTCTGGGGGTGGGAGGTAAGGGGACCTGGCGGTGTCCTTGGGCGTCTGTAGCTGCCTTTGTCTCTGAGGTTGTCTCTGTCTCTAGGCCTGTCTCTGTCTGCCTCGGGCTCTGTCTCTGTCGCTCGAAGCCCCCCTTCTCCATGGCAGCACCGGTGGGTGGGGGTGGGAGCTGGTGATTTATCACCCGCTGCCTGTCCTCCATCGGAAACGCTGGGGGTGGGCGCAGACTCTGCGCTGAGCTATGGGCCCCCAGGGCCCCGCCACCCACGCCAGTGTTGTTGCTCCGTCTGGGCGGCGCGCCCACCCCCCATCATGGCCAGGGCTTGGCCCCCAGCCCTTCCCAGGGCCTCGTCCGCGTGGGCCCCTCGAGTCCAAGCCCAGCGAGCGGCCGGCCCCTCCGCAGGCAGGAGGCGCCCACTGGGGACCCGCACTCCGCCGCCAGGTTGGTCAGGAGGTGGCGGATCCCATGTCCCACTCCCTGGGCATCCGGGAGCCAGCCAGCCTCTCACGGTCCCCTCCACGCGGCCTCGCAGCCCCCGTCCGCCCGGTGCACACAGCAGGGACTCAATAAGTGTTTACGGAACCAAAAAGCGGTGGAGGGCGGAGGGCTCACCTGGGCTGACCACCCCCCCAACTCCCCTCCGGCGGAAGAGGTCCCTTATCTTCCCCGCGACCGGCTGTCAGCGCGCGGCGGGGGCGGGGGGGCGTCCCCTCGTTCTCCCTCCCCGCCCCGCCCCCACGGCCGCGATCTGCGGACCCCGGGGCCCGCCCCCTCCAGCTTGGGCAGGTCCTGCTCTGAGCACCGCTCCCCGGCGAGCCTGGTGTCTCTGCGCCCTGCGCCCCTCCGCCCCGGGAGCCCTGCACAGGCTCTCCTGCAGGTCGCGAGCGCCCTCTGCTGCCGGGCTGGGGTCGCGCGCCCGGGGAGGACGAGACACAGGCATCAGCCCATTTCAGGGATGAAAACACCGAGGCTCCCCGCACAGGTCAGGGTTTTGTCTAACTGCGCCGCCGTCTGGCCCTGCCGGGGCTCACTCTATGCAACCCCTCAGTCGTCGCTCACTAGCCAGGATGTGGTTTGAGCCCCGGGGCAGTCTTAGGGTCCTGCACCACGTGTCTGGGCAGGGCAGGGCCAGGACGCGCCCTGCTGAGGACATGTTGAGTGGAGGCCTTGAATAGTTAGGACATAGAGCAGGAAGGTCATGCCTGCCCTGGGAAGGGCTGGGCCTTGATCTAAGACTGGGGGTCCTGGGAGCCACACCACTGGCCACCCCCCTACCCCCCGGGAAGCTGGGGGGCCAGTCTGTGGTCAGGGGATCCTGGGGCTGCAGGGCAGGGGGCCCTGAATCAGCCAGCCTGGGGGCTGCAGGTATGAGGGGTTGGCAGAGCTTTGAGTGGACCCTGACCTGTTCCCATCTGGAAGGAGTCTGAGGCCCCAGAGGGGACCAGCCTATCAGTGGGGAAGGGACCCTGGGGCAGGTGTGTCATCCATGAGATGGAGGACAGTGCTGGAGGGAGGGGCACCATAGGCCCTGGAGCTGGGGGAGGGGTGTCCACTCCTCATTCAGGGTCCCTGAGCTGGAACTGTTCCAATTCCCCACACTCTGGAGGCTGAGGCCCCAGGGTTAGTGTGTGGAGGGTCAGCTTAGGGTCAGGATTGGGACTGGGGGCTCCAAGCAGGCTGGGCCAGGTCAGCCAGCGAGGCCAGGCCGGCATCCCCCTGTGGTCAGTACCTTGGCCGGAGCCCATCAAAATCATGGAGAACTGGCAAAAGGGAGGGGCAAGCCTGGAGAAACCATGTGGTTCCACTGCCCCGTTGTCCGAGTGGGAAGTTCTTCCTTAAGTCTGACCACACTGTGATGCCAGCCTTTTCCCTCTTTCAAAGAAGCTCCAGTCTTCTGCATCTCCTGGCCCTCGGGGCCCTCATGCCCACCCTCTCAGCAGGACACTGGCCGTGGAGCTGGGCTCCTGCTCACCACTTCTCACAGCTCGTGCTGGGACCTTGTCCCATGGCCCAGGGGGGCCTCCTTCTCTTAGCTTGGGGTCACCTAGGACCCCAAGGCCACTTTCTCTGGGCCCTGCATTTGCCCCCCAAAGTCCTCAGTGAGGAGGAGAGTGGGTCCCAGGGGCCTGGTTTCAGCTCTGCTCCCAGTGCAGCCATGGAGAAAGCTCTGGGGCCCAGCAGGGAGACCCGCTTCTGGGATCTGGTTTCCTCCTCTAGAAAGTAGGGGTGACACCCGCTTCCTGCACCACATTGGGGCTGAATTTAGGGGGTGGCCTCTGACCCACACCAGGGGCTCTGGGACACTCCCTGGGGAGGTAGGGTGGCAGTTTATTTGTACAAAAGGGGCCGCTGTCCCAGATGTGGTGATAAGGCTGGATGGACGGCCAGACAGTCAACTGCAGCCCACAATGGGCCGGATGCCATGCACCTGCCCACAAAGGAGGGGGTGGCTCCTGCCTCACGTCCCACCGGCAGCCCTGAGATAGCATCAGCCTGACCGGAGGGCCATCTGTCTTGTCCCACAAAGGCCAGGACAAAGGCCGTGTCAGTGGCAGCCTCCCCGACCCGGTCAGAGGAGCCGGGGGCCTTCCTGTGCCAGGCAGCTGGGGCTCAGGCCCGAGGCTCCTTGTCAGGGTCCTGTTTGGGGTGAACAGCAAGCAGCCTTCATTGTTCACAGGGCCAGACAGGTGGGGGCCACACCTAGGGCGGGAGCAGGACCCCAATAGTGGGAAATGCATCAGGCCCTCTTTGGGTCCGCCAGGCCCTCATTAGCACCTGAGCCTCACTGGGACACCCACAGAGGATTTCCAGGCCCTGGTGGCTCAGCCTGGATCCAGGGCTGGGACGGGGAGACAGGGACTGAGAAACAGTCAGAGGTGCCTTCCTGCAGGAGGCGGCGGCCAGGTGGAGGACACAATTCAGAGACCTGCAACCCCAGGTGCCTCCTCACCCCTGCAGGGAACTTTACGTGGACCCCAGCTCACAACGCTCGCTCCCTCCTCACCTGCCCTCCAGAACTTCTCTCTCAGATGCCCCGGAAGCATCTGCTGGGCCACTCGACCGCCCTCACCATCCCCAGTGCACCCCTGATACCCTGAAAGCTGCCTGTGTGGCGCAGTCACTGCCTTCAGGGAAACCTCACACCCTGGACTGTCCTCAGAGCCACCTGGAAGACCCTCACTGACTCCCGGAAACCGCCACTCTGAGCATCTGCTCTTTCTGGCAACTACACTTCCTGTGGGGTCCTCACCGTCCCCACACTGTCCTGTCCAGTGTCCTCACTGCTCCACAGTGTCCTCACTGTCCACTGTCCTCACTGTCCCCGTGTCCTCACTCCCGCCAGTGTGGGCACTGTACTTCCAGCTCTTCTGTGCCTTCTCACTAGAACTTCTGGGAGAGTCGGTGGCAGGTGAGTTCACTCCCAGACCTTGTGCGCACCCCAGAAGGTGATTTTGGGTGTATGAACATGCGATGTGTCCCCTTGAATCATCCCCGGAGCTCTTTCTGGGTTTGAGGGGGGGATTCCGAGTCGCACGGTGCAGAGATCGGTCGGATGGAGAGCAGGGTTTATTCGCACTGGAGATGGCGTGGGGGGCTCGACTGGTCTGGGCAGCGGCTCGCCCCGGGCCCGCTTCGGCATCCAGGTCCAGGGGGTGCGAGCGTGTCGCCAGCGGTGCCCGCGCAGCAGTGGGGCCCCTGCGCGCGGCCGCGGTGGGGGGAGCGTCTGGGAGATCGTGTGGGCGGAGGATGCGCCCGGAGCGGGGGGCCGTCAGCGGGCCGGCCGCACGGCTCAGCGCCAGTCGCTCGGCTCGGGGGTCGCGGGCTCCTCCGCCAGCGGGGTAGTCAGCGGCCACCGGCGCGCGGCGCGGGCGCGCAGCCTCCGCAGGCGGCACAGCAGCAGCGCCAGCAGCAGCGCGTGCAGCAGCCCAAGGCAGAGTAGCAGGAGCTGCGCCGCTAGCGCCCCGCGGCAGAGCGCGCCAGGCGGGCAGGCGGCGCGCAGCTCCTCCTCCGCCAGGTAGGACAGCAGGCGGCCCCGTAGCGCGGGGGGCGCGGCGCAGCGCAGGTCGCGGTAGGGCTCGCGCTCCAGCCGGCCTGCCAGCCAGGCGCGCAGCGGCACCAGGTGGCAGTCGCAGCGCCAGGGGTTGGCGCCCAGGTGCACGACACGCAGCACCGGCAGCACGTCCAGCAGCCCTGGTGGCAACGCCGTCAGGTTGTTGCCCGTCAGCACCAGTTCGGTCGTATCTGGCGGGAAGGCGGCCGGCAGCGAAGCCCACGTCAGCCCGCGGCGCCCGCAGTCCACCCGCGTCGCCGCGCAGCGACACGGGGCCGGGCAGCCAGCGGCCGGGCGGCCCGGCGGCGCGAGCAGCAGAAGCATTAGGCTCAGCGCCCCGCGCGGCCCTGGAAGGGAAGCGCCGCGGTGAGCCCGGCCCTTGGGGCTCCTGGGCGGGGTCCCGGGGCACCCGCGTGCCCCCCATCACCCGCGAGCCTCTCCACCCCGACAGCCCGGCACCGGCTGGAAGTGCCCTCTAAGTCTGACCCAAACCTCTCCCGACTACAGCCCAGAGGACAGAGCACCTCCCCACCGGACTCTACTCAGGGAGCGGCCTGGCCCGGGCAGACCCCAGACTCACCGGAGCCCATGGCGAGAGGACAGCGGTCCAGCTAGCTCTGGAGCGCCAGGCAGCAGCCGCAGAACCGGGCGATAAAGCCGCCCCGCCCCTGCCAGTCCCCGGCGCACCCGCTGAACCGACCACAGCCCCGTCGCAAATAACCAGTAGGCCAAGCCGGCAGCGCAGATAGAGCGCTATCGCCAGGCTGCCGGCCGACCGGGCTTCCGCCCCACTCGCTCCCAGGGGCGCACGGAGCACTCGGACACCCTCTTCGACGTTCACCAACATTGTTCTCCCGTCACCAGGACAGGACGCAGCATTCACAACTGAACAAACTGGAGAATGGGGCTTGGGGGCAGGGATCATGCGGGTGGAGGGATGGGGGACCAGGGGCTCAGGAACCCGGGGCAACAGTGCTGCTGCGGGGAACAGGCCTCCAGCGACCAACAGGGAAGGGTGGTCCAGGGATGGGGGTTGCCAGTTTGCCCACCACCCACTGCTCCTGGAGCCGGGCCATGGCCGTGGGGGAGGGGCGTAGGCAGCCCCATTATTCCTCCCCAGCAGCCAGCTGGCCTCCTAAGGTCTGGAGAGATCCTAATTGCTTCGGCTGTCCAACCTGCCCGCTGAGCTACCTGGTGAGTGGGTGAGGAGGTAAGAAGGACCTGGCCCACCTCAGCACAAAGTGAGGGCTCCCAAGTTCACTCTGCAGCCCTGGGCAGGGAATAGGCCCAGGATCCTGCGGACCTGCTCCCCTATTCTGCCTTGGTTTACCTGCCCATCTGAGTAGGGCCTGGAATCTAAGTGCTGTGACCTTCTGGGTTGGGGGGAGATCTCAGAAGTCACCACTCAACTTAGCTCCTGCTCCCCCAAGGCCAGAGAGGGCTGGCTGTGGGGGCCATTGTCCAGGCCCCTTGGAAGCAGACACAAATGACGGGAGGGGCTGATGCTGAGAATAAATTAGGGCTGGCTGGGGGCTGCGACCCCGCGTCTCTGGGTCAGTTCAGGAACAGTAGGAAAAAGTCCAGGTCTGGGCCACTCTGCAATTGGGGTTGTGTCCAGGCCTGTTAGCGATCCAGACGAATCCGGTGTCGAGTCCAGGCCAGTCGGGGTCCAGGGGTGGGAAGGGCCAGCCTGGAAACTGGCAGTATATCCATGGAAAAGTGGGGCTGTGGTGGGGTCACTGGTCCTGCATTTGCTGCTTCATTTTCTGCAGCATCTCCTGCATGCGCCTTAGCTAGGGGGGCGGGGCAGGAACAACGGAGGGTGGGGTGAGAAATGCGATGGGACGGGCCTGGCCCTGTCCCCACCCCCAGCCCCTGCTCCTCCCCTGCTGCCTACCAACCTCCTCATCCTTCATCCTGATGAGCTTCTCCGTCTCAGCATCGGGGGTTGGCAGTGGCAGGATGGGGATGGGGCTCTCCATGCGGCTGTCCTGCGTCAGTTTGCTGCAGGGTGGACACCAGGGAGAAGCTGCTGGGGGTTGGGCTGACCCTCGATACCCTGTGGCTCCCACACCTCTGGGTGGGGGTCAGGGCAGGTCCGAGGGCGGGTGGGTCACGCACCTGGTCATCTGCTGGATGCAGTGCGCTCGGTAGTTCTCGTAGTGCACGTCGCATGTCACGTCCTTGAGGTCATGCATGTGTGTACGGATGAGCATGTTGCGAAGCTTCACGAAGTCGCAGTGTGCCTGGTTCTCCACTGTGGGCGGGGGCAGGTGGTGGGTGAGGCGCCGGCCCAGGGGAGCCTTCCCACCCAAATGCTGTGCCCCAGGCCTCGACTCACCCTCCACGATCCCCCAGGGGTACAGACGCCCCCGGACCCGCTGCCCCTTGGCCTCCACCACCGTGTTGCTGCCGATGACAGCGAAGGGTGCGCTCTCCTGGGGGGGCAGGTGCAAGGGCTCACTCCCAGTTAGCATGGGTGTGGGGTCAGTGGTGGGAGAGGGGCATGGGCACTAAGCACCTGGCCCGCCCCTCCACAATGACCCTCAACAAGCTCTCCCCAAAGAGACCCTGTTGTCCCCACCTCTGGCCTCTCTGTTGCCAGCTGAAGCCAGAACTGGTACAGCTTACACCTTAGAGCTTTTGCTGGGCCGTGCCCATCAGATGTACCCCCCCTCCTGATACCCCCACCACCAACAGCCACTCCATCTAGTGCCTCCCCATTCCTTTCCCAGGGCAGAGCCCATGCCTCCTGTTAGTGATACCCCTGCTGACTTCGGGGTGAAAGGTCCACCCTGCTCCTGGCTCGGTGGCCACCTGTCCCGAGCTTGGGCTTGCCATCACCACTCTAACCCCCGGGGCACTCAAAGCCACCCCCCCTCCCCCCGGAGCTCAGAATTCTGGGAACCAGGACATGCACAGGCCTGGGGCCATTGGACTAGGCCCTTCTGTGGATGAAGCATGGCGAGGGGGCTGAGAGAAGGGCCAGGGTGGGGGCCTGGCCAGTGGCTGTGCCTTTAGATCCTGGCAAGCATTCCATGACCTATTAACTACATGGGGACCCAACTACACAAGCCAGCGGGGGACCTGGGCCGCCCTAGCCCCAGCCCCAGGTGAAGACTCTACGGCCTGGACAAAACACTCCTGCCCCCCAGGTCAGACCTGGGCCCGGGCCCTCCTCCCGACCTGGTGTAAAGTGGCCTCTGGGTCCCTCACCCCCAGTGCTGCAGCCTCACCTTCAGTTCCCGGTCCTGCTGCTTAAACTCCTCGTCCTCGTCCGAGTCACACTCAGGAAACTGGTAAACGTGGATCCCAAACTTGTCGATCTCCTCCCGGATCTGCGGCAGGCAAGGGCCATCAGGTGAGGGGCTGGTGCCCTTGGCCCCACCAGAGTCCCTGCTGCGCCCCGCGACCGCACAGGCTCACCCGCTCCTTCAGCTTCCGGATCTCACCGGGGACGAGACAGTCGGCTTTGGCAATGAGGGGCACGATGTTCACCTTCTCGTGCAGGGCTTTCATGAAGCCCACGTCCACTGGCCGCAGCCTGTGGAGAGCAGCCGGGGCGAGGGGCTCATGGGGTGGTGGTGGTGGGAGGGGGCGCCGCAGGGATGGGCAGGACCCACACCCCTGGCCCGGGGTAGCCACCTACCCGTGCCCAAAAGGGGAAATGAAGTACAAGCAGCAGTGCACACGGTTGTCCTGGATGTTCTTGCGGTTGAGGCCACTCTCGTCTCGGAAATACTGCTCAAACTGCTGGTCCACGTAGTCGGTGATGGGCTTCCAGCTGGGGGCAGGGGGCACATGAGGCCAGGCTGGTGGCTGGTGGCCAGGGGCCAGGGCAGACCGGGCAGGCCTTCCTCACCACTCAGAGTTGTTGACGGCGTCCCCGAAGCCTGGTGTGTCCACAATGGTGAGCTTCAGCTTGACCCCCTTCTCCTCAATGTCCACCGTGTGCTTCAGGATCTCGACCGTCTGGCTGATGCGCTCTGTGGCAAGGCGGGTGGGGGGACAGACCCTCACAGACCCTCTGTGACCCTCACTCCCACCCCGGGCAGCCCAGACCCTTGTTCTCATCCCTGGCTATGTGGCCCGGCGGTGATCTGGACCCTGAACGGGAGACCCATGCTTCGGGGACAGAGGAGCAGGGCTGGACCTGGAAGGAGCCCTTGGAGAGGTCACCCAGTAGGGGATGGTGGCAGCGCCAGGGCCGCGTGGGGCCCACTCACCCTCAGCACTGAGCAGCTTCCGTTCCTTGTACAAGTCAGTCAGGAAGAGGCTGTGGACCAGTGTGGACTTCCCCAGGCCCGACTCCCCTGCCCACAGGTGCAGTGAGGACGTCGGGTCAGGTCCCAGGCCCCAGACAGAGCCTGGCTGCCAGTGCCCCACCCCACGCCCTGGAGGCCGGCCCACTCACCCGCCACCATGAGCGTGAAGTCGAAGCCCTTCTTCACAGACTTGCGGTGCACCTGATTGGGCAGTGTGGCGAAGCCCACGTACTGCTTGTCGATGTCCTGGCGGGGGCGGGCGGGTCAGGGGCACGCTGGGGTTCCTGGGGCAGCCCGGTGCCTTGGCCCCTACCCAGCTCAGGCCAGGGGGCAGCAGGGCAGAGTCCCCAGGGAGGGGGCATCTCAATGGCAGAAGTGGGTGAGGGCCTGTGGGCAAAGGCCCTGGAGGTGGAAGGCAGGTGGGGGTGGAGGGTGGAGGCGCCCGCGAGGGCTTCGCAGGGACCGAGATGGAGTCTGTGTGCGTGTGGAGGGAGGTGGCAGGCACAGCGGGCAAGGCGGTGTCCCCCCTTGGGCGGTGGGCAGAGGGCACCAGGACCCAGACCCCTCACACACGCCCAAGGCCCTCAGAGGCTGGAGAAGCCCCCACCTCAATACTCACCCCTCCCGAGTGTAAGGGGTGGGAGGCCCCGTCTGGCCCCGATCCAGCCGCGGGGGTGGCTGGCTGCGGCGACGGCGGAGCAGGGGCTATTTATAGACAGCGGCGCCCAGCCTCCCGCGGCCTCCGGCGCCCACCCCAGGACCCCGGCCCTGCGGCTCCCGTCGCATCCCCAGTCCGTGCGCGGGGGGCGGGCGCACAGCTGACCCACCTTCCGCTCCCCTCTCCACACACACCTTGAGCCGCCTCTGGGCCTGGGTCCGCGGCGACAGCAGCTGCTCCACCAGGCGGTCCTGGGGTGCCGCCAGCGAGTCCATCGCAGCGACCCCGGGACCTTGCCCGCTGCGCTGGGGCCCAGAGTGCGTCAGGCCCACCCGGCGTAGCTGTGCGCCAGGGGCTCGCGCGCTGTGCGGCCCCGAGGCCCTGTTCTCGCCCCCGGGTTACGGGTTACGGACGCGGGAACCGAAGCCCGGAGGGGCGGCGCTCACGCGATGCCGGGACCCCGAGGCCACCAAGCCGCTCGCCGGCCCTAGGCGGGCCTGCCCCTGGCACAGGCGGGCCCTCGCGCCGGAGAGGAGCGCGCGGTCTCCGGGAGACAGTCGCCTGGAAATTGGGCCGCGCGGGCGGAGCCACGGAGCTGAGGAGGGCAGGGCCCAGCTCGGCGGGCTGGCGGGCGGCTGCGCGCGGAGCGGCGCGGCTCAGGCCGTCAGTCCAGCGACTACACAGCCGGGTGGGCGGGGGACCGGGTCCACGGCCGGGTCTGCGCTGCCGCGTCCCGCCTGCCAGAGGGCGCCCGAGTACGCCCCCATCCACGCGTGCGCCCGCGGGAGCCCGCCCGGTCCCCCTACTCTCCCGCGGCGGTGTCACAGAGGCGCCCCCAGCTACCCACCGATGCACGGCCCGCCCCTCGCGTGTGTGCGCGTGTGTCTGGAGAATTCTTACCGCCGTGGCCGCCGAGAGAAGTTGGGAACCTGCGAGGGCAGAGCCCACCTCCCCACCCAGGCCCGCGGAGGCTTACGTTTGGGGAAGGGAGCGATCAGAGCACTAGATGCCCAACCCCTACCCCCACCTCTGCAAACTTGGAAGCTGTGGCCAGTGCGTAGCTCCACAAACCCGGCGGCCAGCCCTGCGCTGCCACCTCTGCCCCCAGACAGCCGCTGCCAGCAGAGGTAGGGGGTGCTGGAGTGAACCCTTCCCCCTAAGGGGGACACTCCCTCTGAGCTTCCACCCTGCTCTCACTTACAGGACTGGGCAACACAGGGCCTGTAGGGCTCCAGCCAGCTCAGCCCTCACACCTGTGCGGCCACTCCAGGGACCACAGGGGTCTCCTGAGCCCCCAAACCCTTCCTCACTGACCCTACCCGCAGGACCCACCAGAATCTGAACAAGCCGGCACCAGCCCGGTGGCAAGGGAGGCCTGCAAAGGAGCTGGGGATCCAAAGAGACGTGTCCCTGGACTGTGCGTCAGTGGGAACGGGAGGCCCCACAGTTCTCCCCCACCTAGGCCCTCCCTTCTTGGCTCCCCGCTTAAGGGGCCTCTGTCCCCCTGTCTAGGCTCATGCTGCTGCTGTGTGGCCTGGAGGCCGCTGGCACCTGGGGAGGAGGGGTGGGCCCGCTGCTGGGAACAGGGGAGCCTTTCATCCGAGAGGGGGGGGAGCCACAGGCCCCAGCTCCCCAGCCCGCCCCCAGCCCTGGCTCTGAGAAAGCCTCTGCGCTGGCCCCAGCCCTCCACCACGCAGACCTGCGAGGGGCCTTGGGGCTGAGTCCCACCCAGCCTCCACCCCCGGCTCCAATTTAGACATGGCCCCTCGGCCCACTTCCTGCCCAGACAGGCTGACATCTCGGGCCCAGGGCATCTCCAGGAGGACAGACAGAGCTGGCACCCCACAGCCTGGTGCCTGATGGGCTCGTTGCCCCCAGAAGGCCTCAGTTTCCCCATCGGTAAGGCACAGCCTCAGTGGAGGTCCGGGTCAGGGGGACAAGACCAGCTCCCTGCCTGCCTGCCCTGTCCCCTGACTTTGTCCAGATGGGGCCTGGGGATTCCCTGGGGGATCCCCAAGGAAGGGGCCCTTCCACTCCCTTTCTCTGGCCCCCGAGGCACAACAAATACTCCTCAGGACTTCCCGAGCCACAGACACTGCTGCGCCCACCTCCTCCCCACCTCCTCCTGGTGCCTGACACTCTCGAGGCATTTCCATTCTTAGAACCACCCCAGCTGCCAGAGCCAGTGAAGGCCCCACCACTGCTAGAGATGGGGTGGGAGTTGGAGGAGGGAGCACAGAGGACCACCAGAGCCCTCCCCAGTGTCTGAGATGGGTGGGCACAGAGGGGGCCCACAGAGCTCCCCTGCCCCCTTTCCCAGAGTGCAGACAGACTGAGTCTCAGTAACACCAACCATGGAACAGCAAAGTTACTGCAGGCTTCCGGCTCCCCCAGACCCACGGGGAACCTTCCCCAAACACCGGGCTCCCTGGCCCTGCGCCCAGGGAACCCCACACCCCACCCGCATAATGCTCTCTCCCTCTGGTCCTAGGAGCAGGGGACAGGTAAGGCTGGTCCTAGCTGAGCTCCAGGAGGGGTAGACAGGCCTGAAGGGGCTCGAGCCTCAGCAGGGGGGTCCCTGAGTGCCCGCAGGCCCAGGGCAAGGGGGGCTGGTCTCCCAGGCCTTCCCTCTTTCTCTCCCTTGAACAATAGCTTGGTGGCAGTGTGTCCCTGCATCTCCTTCATTGTTTGACCCGCCATGATGGGGAGGCAGCTCTTGTCCCGGGCTCCCCGGGGAGCCCCTTGCTGGCAGGATGAGGTGGTCGTGGCCCCTCCCTGTGAGCCTCACCCGTCCCAGGGTGGGGCGTATCCCTGCTAGGGGCCTGGCACTGGGCAGGAGTGACTCCCAGCCCCCACCCCACCTGCTGGGCCACTCCTGGCCCGCCTGCCGCACCTAGGCCAAGACTTCGGGTTCCACCCAGCATCCACCCAGGGTGTGAGCCCCCATCCCAGACGAGGGTTGCCAAGGCCACCCTGATGCCAGAGTTGGGCTCTTCTTTTCTGCCCTAAACATGGCTGAGCTCAAGCCAGAGAGGCCCCCAGCAGGGCTGCCCCAGAACCCCCAGCTCCCCCCGGTTACCCACCCCCCCACGCCCTCTTGGGGTCTCCTAGCTGTTTAAACCTGACCTCAGCTAAGTTCACAGCGAGTACCCAGGCCAGCCTCCTGTCCGACCCTCTATTCCTGGAGGCTGGGGTCTAGGCCGGCCCTTTGAGAAATCGGTTTGTACCCCCTAGATCTGAAGACTGGTGCTGGGCACCGGGATGACTCAGACCAGGCCCTGGAGACTCCCAGTCTGGGGAAGAGGCCTGGCCACAGATCAGCCCACTCACATTGGTGTGTGTGGAGAGGAGGCATAAGATGCAGAGAAGTTGGGTGGGGTGGCCAGAGGTTCCCCTGTGGGGCTGCTCAGGGACTGGCCCTGGCTGGTGGACTCAAACCCCTCCCCCCCAGCCCGTGGCCTTTCATGACCATGGTCTCACACAGGACCCCCAGCACACGGCCACGGGCCAGGTCAGCAAAGAGAGGCTGGTGCTGGACCAGTGGGAGAGGGGCACCCGGCCCATCCCCCATCCGGGGAGGAGCGCACGCCATGCCTCGAGGGTCAGGAGCCAGGCCCGGAGGCACTGCGGCCGCTCCTCCCCTCTGCAGCCCCGGGTTGGCGGCACTGCCCAGGCTGACAATCGGTTATCGGTTATCGCGACAGAGCGGGATGACGGCCGGCGGGGGCGGGGTCGCGTTGGGGCGCCGCGCGTTGGTGGCACAATGGGTGACAGCGGGCCAGGTGAGCGACGGCGCACACGTACCTGCTTGTCCTCTGCGGGGTCGGGTGGGGTCGGGGGTCGGGTCGGGGTCCGGGCCCGGGCCGGCGGGCGGGGGAAAGACCGAGACACACGGTGAGAGGCGTGCGGGCGGCGGGGACAAAGGAGTGCGCGCGCGCGCGCGGGCGGGCGCCGGGCTCACCTGGGGTCGCCAGCTTGCTCTTGTACCGCAGGCCTGTGCTCATGGTGGCCGCCGGGGGGACGTGCGCGCGGGCGGGGCGGCGACGAGCGGAGGCCGAGGCCGGGCTGCGGGGTGACCGGCCCCTCCGCGCCGCCGCCCGCCCCGCCCGCGCTCTCGCCAGCCAATCGGCGCCCGCCGCGCCCACGCGCGACCCGGCGCGGCCAGCGGGGGCGGGGACCCAGGCGCCCCTACAGACCCCGCGCCTGCTGCCTGGGGCGACGCCCTCGCCTCCAGCCGCCCGGACACCGCGAGACCCGCTCTGCGCCCACCCCCGCGGCCGCGCCCCCTGCCCACCTCCCCTCCCCGCTGCCGGGCCCCTGCGCACGTACCCCGCCCTCCACCCCGTCTCAACCCGGCCCCCTGCCCAGACCCGGGCTGACTCCTCTGCCTTCGTGGGACCCCAGTCCAGGCCTGACCTCTGGCCATCCTTGGTGTGGCCCACCTGTAAAGCCTGCCCCTGGGGTCTCCCGCCTCATGCCACTTCCCCGCCCCCCCCCCCGCATGCTCTGCCCACTGAGGTCAGTGGATGCCCCTCCTCACCTCATCAGGATGGACGCCGGAGGCTTTGGCCTGGGGAGTCCTGCTCCTGGCCGTGGCAGGAAAGGTGATGGTCACTGTGCGGAAAGCTGGCGGGGGATGCGTGGCGGGGGACCAGCCCCAGCACTTGCAGCTGCTCGGTGCTCTGCAAGCCCACACACCTGGGCCGTTAGCCGGCTCCCTTTCCAGGATTATTGGTGGGGAATGAGCCGCCATCCTGGACAGGATGGGCCCAACCTGAGGCCTGCGCCCCCCATGCCCACCTCGGCACCCTCTGTTCTGCAGACCCAGAGGCAGACTGCTAGCACCCTGAGAAGGGTTGCAGGGGGCCCCCCAGGGCACTGCGAAGGCGGGGCAGGTCAGGGCCTGCACCCCACTTACAGATGGGAAGCTGAGGACTCACCAGCATGAGTGCCTCTTGTCTCTTCGGTCACTGCCACACTCCCAGGTGCCCTTGGCCTGGACCTCCCCGGAGTGCCCCCAGGAGGCACGTCTGGAGCTTTCAGTCCCCCAGAAAGTGACAGTTGGGCCAGTGGTCACCAGCTTCCCAGGTGAGGGAGGGTCCTGTGTGGGAGAAGGCCTGCTGCCCCCTCCACAGAAAGGAAGCCCCGTCCCTCCCTGCCCTCCTGCACCCCTTCCTCCCTCCGCTGGCCTGTGGGCTCCTCCACCTCTGAGCACCAGCACCGGGCAGAGTTGTTTCACCTCTAAGTGAAAAAGCCACGAGAGCAGCACCATCACTCTGCAAAATCCTGGGGCCAGGTTGAGCCTGTTTCCCTTTACCAGACTATCGCCTGCTCCAGCACTGCGATGTGTGGGGACGGTCCACCGCCCTCACCCCTCACCCAGGCCTTGGGGCCAGATGTGTTTGGAATTCAGAATTTTTGTACATCTCATACATTACATGATACCTCATTGGACCCTGGGGCTGCACCCCGTAATCAGGCACATTAAGATTTTTGTACTGAGGGACTTCCCTGGTGGTCCAGTGGTTAAGACTCTGCACTTCCACTCCGTGCTGGTTTGATCCCTGGTTGGGGAACTAAGGTCCTGCATGCCGCTCTGCGTGGCCAAACGATATTAAAAAAAAAATTTTTTTAAAGATTTTTGTACTGAAACACAACCGTTCACACGAACTGGAATAAATAAAGATCAGAGTAAATGTATATCAGTTCAAGGCTGGCTTTGCCACCAAGTTTTGAAAACCTTTGTTTCATATCTTTAGGGAATTTGGAATTGTGGATAAAGGAGTGGGGCTGGAGGGGACACTCTGAGTGCCAGGCAGGACTTCTGAGCCTTCATCAGCCCTGAGGGGCTCGGTGAGAACCCCGTCTCAGGGGACCTGGAGCTTTGCAAAATGGGTCAATCGGGCAGTGAAACGTGACAGTTCGACATTTAGCACAGACTGAGCCAGGCGAGCTTGTGCCTGTGGGGACATAGGAGGAGAGACAGGAGCCTGTCCCCAACAGGGCAGATGTGCCCCTGCAAAGTGCCCAATAGCACTGCCCTCCTTGGGTCGGGAAGGGCTCCAGGCAGCCCCCTGTCAGGGGGTTTGAACACGGCCTTGAGGGGACTGGACTGCAGGTCAAGGGCCTAGCTTGGCTAAATCACAGATTTTAAAACAATCCTGGAGATGGGACCAGAAAGGGTGAGGGGTACCACATAAACAGGGTCTTTTTCATTAAAGTAAGTGTATCCAAAGGAGTGTGTGCATAAGCGCAGTTGGGCTAGAGCCCAGCATCTCAGGCCTGGAGAACCAGCATGGAGCTGATGGAAAGAGGACGGGGAGCCGCTCCCGGAAGCAGACGTCAGGGGCAGGCCTGGGTCAGGCCTCCTGTGAAATCCCTGGGGGTGACTGTGGGCTGCTGGCCAGGAAAGGGGAGGGGCCCGCTTCGAGCCTTGGGGCCGTGGTCGCCTACCACTGTGAGTGCAGGGGACAGCCTGGATCCCACCACAGACACTGGGGCTGCCCCGTCTAGTTGGAGACCTCAGGTGACAGCATCCATGGCTGGACAGGCAAAGTAAGAGCCTGGGCACTGGCCAGCGGATTCAGAGGACGCGTCTCCAGCTCTGCCAGGTGGGACGGCAAAGGGCTTTTTCTGGTATCTTGAGCCTGGATGCTGCCAACTGACGGCGAAGTGAAACACTTACACGTCCCCTGCCCATCAAAGGGCACAACCCTGGGGACGTGTGACTTTGGGAAGGAGCGTGGTAGGCGTGGCCCAGCCATTGCACTTCCCACTTCAGGGCTGTGGTTGGAGGAAAACCCAGCCTCCCTGGTGGGGTCTGAGCCTGCTCCCCCCACAGGAGCAGAAATGCTGGCTGTGGTACAGAGACAAGTAAGGAAGATGTTCCTGGGTGGGAAAAATGCTACTTTTTAATTCATAAGAAAAAGAAGTTAATGAGTGAAAAAATAAGCTACACCCAGAAAAATCTCTTCAACCAACGTGGGCTACAAATAGCTTGACGCTTTTCAGAAAAAAAACTCTTTTTAGTTAGGAAATTCTCAAGAGGCTACATTTAGCCAGTGCCGTATCTCTCTTTCCGTCAGCACAGGCTTGTGGGCATCTGTGGTCACACAGGACAGACAGGAGCTTGTGCCTCCATGTGAACCATGGCGACGGTTCACCGTGAAGTGAACACCATGGAGGTAAGCAGTTTGTCCAGGTGACACACGGGTGTCAGGTGGAGCAGGGACCACTGGTGACAAAGCTCCAGAACAGTCCATCTGAGGCCAAGGATGAGGGCAGAAGTCAAGCTGGACGCAGCTTTGTCATCGACACCCCCTCACGGGGGGCTGGAGGGAAGGGCCTGCGGGTCACGCCAGCCCGAGGAGGTCAAACCACCTCTTTGAAGAAAGGGCCATGACGGAAAGAGGAGAAACACACTGCCCTTCAGGGGGACAAAGAAGGACCTTAGTCAACTCAAAAGGGAGTTAATCCACTGAGAGAAAACTTCCTGATGTGCAGTGACGACCTCGCCCCCATCCCTGCATCCAGACCTGCTCGGAGCCTCAGACCCCATGTGGCTGGGACTGCAGTCCTCGTGGTGATGGTGTGGGGCTCGAGTCAGACCTGCCCTTCCCGGGACGTGAGGCTCCCAAAACCAGGAGCCTGAAGACAGCCCTCCTGCTCCGACAGCCCTTGGAGAAGCCCCAGCAACGGGGAGGCCCACTCCCCCAGACAAGGCTCAAGGCTGTGATTCCCACAGCCCACCCCAACTGGCCTCAAGTTGGTCCCCTGGGTTGTTCCTGGGAATCTGTGGCCGGGTTTGGGACCAGTGTGCAGAGCAGGCCCAGGTCAAACTCAGTGTCAGCCCAAGAGGAGGATCTGCCGCTCTGGTCGATGGGAGGTGCTCTGCTCAGGGCCCCGCCCATGGTGAGCACCCACCATGATCTGCCCCCCACCCCCACCTGCTTGGCCAATTTCCACATCCAGCCCCGCCTGCCACGCTATCCTGGACACTGCCGTGCGGCGTCCACCTGCTTCTGGCTCAGGCACTGTCCCCTCT